TGGGGCTGGCCTCCACAGCTGAGTGTCTGAGTGACTGCTTCTGAGTGACTGGGGCTGGTTTCCACGACTGAGTGTCTGAGTGACTGGGGCTGGCCTCCACAGCTGAGTATCTGAGTGACTGGGGCTGGCCTCCCACAGCTGAGTGTCTGAGTGACTGGGGCTGGCCTCCACGGCTGAGTGTCTGAGCGGCTGGTTTCAAATACGGGCCTCTGTGCACGCTCTCTCCGATCTTGTTGTGAGGTTGTTGTCCATGAATGTGGTGCTGGGGACATTGCCATTTGGTGAACTTCTTGCCACAATTGACAACGGGGGAATCCCCCGACAGCATGCTTCTCGCTTGAACGTGGTGCAGTCCCATGTGGATCCGGAGGGTGTTGTCCGAGGCTAACATTTGATCGCAATGCGGACAGGCAAGTTCAGCCTGTGCTTCCGATGGCGGAGGTGGCTGAGCGGCACACTGTTCCAGAAGAAGTTGGAGCTGGTGCTCCATCTGCCGAAAGTGGCGGTAGATCTGGTCGTGTGGTGACATCATGATCATCATCATCGGCATCAGCATCAGCATCGCCAGCGTCATCAACATCTTCATCAACATCATAACAAGATTGTCGTCCATTTCCCTTTGGCCATGGCCCCGCGGGCTCTAACCGCAGCCAGGAATGGCAGCGGAATAATTTTAAGGCTACGCCGCCCGCCTCGGCTTGCCGGAGAGGAGCATTCAACCCGGAGGCACAAAGGCTCCTCCTTCTACTACTACTACTACTACCACCACCACCACTACCACTACCACTACGCAGCTACTCACTACCACTACGGCTGCTGTTACGACCATTGCTCCTACTGCCACCACTACTACGACCGCGGCTACTAGTATGTTTCCGGTTCTCAGCTGATGCAGGATCTGAGCCTGCCCATCTCCAATTGGACCGAGGTGATATCATGGACACACCTGGCTATCAAGGTCCACTGCCAGGATCTCGGACTTCACAAGCAGCTATTATGCCCTTCCTGTTTGCAGGCTATGAGAATGGCGCTTCGATTGCCCGCACATGCGCATTCAACTGTAGACCACTAGTTGTGTTTGCAAGTATGTGTTTGCGGAGAGCTTCATGTTTCCAATTTCAATCGATAAGCAAGTTCCGGCATGTGCCTGGGGAGGCCTGTTTCCATCGTCCACACCGAGGATGTGCCAACCTGATGGGTTCTGTTTGCATGTTTTTTTGCTTTGCTTTGCCCACTCTTCTAATTAGAGTATCGAAAGGGGTTCTTCCGAACAATATCAGAATCTGAAACACTTCTTATCAGCTCCTGCATCCTATCCGGGAGTTCGGAGAGCTGGTGGCTGAGCTGTGCAGTTTCAGGTGCCACTGGCCGGGCGCGGGGGCCATGCGATACCCGGCTACTCTGGGCACGTTCCGGGCAAGGCGACTCCCTCTCGAAACCGAAACGGAACGGTCACAACTCTTCAGAAAAAGGACGAACAATGCCTCAGTAGGATTTGCCATGCTGCTTGCAGAAGCAGGTCAGCAAGACCGTTAGCGAAATCGAGCATTTTCTAGCTCAAGCTACATGCCCGGACTTGAATCTGAGATCTTGGCAACCGTACCATCTTCTTCCGGAGAGTGGGATACCTGCCTGCTGCGTGCTGCTGCAGTCACGCACGAACGATTCACTTTCCAAACTGAGCTGTCCTGCCTCAGGGGCCCGAAGGAGCCAACATGGGCAAGCGCTTTGCTGCAGCCAACGAGCATGGCTTCCGCAGCTTGCGAGGTGCGATGGGCGATGATGGGCGTTGCGTGCACCGGTCAACAATTGATTGCAGCTGTTGTCGCTTGACACAGCTTTGGTTGGGCTCACATGCACATGGCTTATTGATGTTTGCTGGCAGCATTCCGGGTCCGAAAGGCCCTACCTGAGCGTGGAAGCATCCTCTCACAAACATGGAATGCGGTTCTGTTGCGCCAACAATACTGTACTGCCACATCTGAGTGAATTGTGCCCTTTTGTTGGATCTTCTTGGTATTGCCTCGACAGGGCAGGCACTTGGTATCTGGCACAGAGAATCATGTCGGGCATGGTTTGTACATGGCAAGTCTAAGTTCGCGGCAGTCTGGGAACCACTTCCTTGTGCCGTGACTTCTCGCAGTAGGGGCGTCGAGCCTTTGTTGTCCTTGGCAAGTATTTGCCAACGTAATGCGACCTCACCATCACCGACAAAGATGCAAAAATGAGTCTTCCAGCATGAAGCGCATTGTGCTGGGAGAGGTTCCAAGTCATTCTACATGAGCTGCGCTTGTCGCAGATGAATTTGAATGTGTTGTGGTTATGGTATGCTGCAGAATGTCGCTGTTGGAAAGAGGTCTTGATTCTGCTCGTTGGCGTCAAGTTGCAAGCTCCTAGCCTTTGTCCTTTGCAAGGAGAACAGCACAGTGCGGCTTGAATGACAGCTACCCTAAACATGACGGCAGGCGAACCGTCGCAAGCGCAGGCGCGATGATGCACTTTCCAATTAGGTGCAAGCCAGGCATAAACCAGATGTTTCAGCACATCAGGCATCGGCCATCCTGCAAGCAATTGCGAATTCGCAGGCTTCAAATCATCGAAAGTGTCGAGATCCTCACGGCACCTCGGAAGAAGGGCTTGGCTTTTTTTAGTGCACCCTCGTCATGGCTTGCTAGGCACATCTGACTACCAAGTTGCACTGCTTGCCTGAAGACGGAGACCGGACTGAGGCAACATCCCAGGTTACAGCGGCCAGATACTGAGTTGCACGTTCGGGAGATATTCTTGCAGTGCCCTGGCACTCGAATCCCTCCAGCTATGGGGCGTCACAGCAACACTGACTCTGAAGAAGAATCAACCCCATGCTGTTCGAGGTCACATCCCCGGCAAGCTGGAGGACACTGCTAGCTGCTAGCATAATATTGCATTTACTCCCAGGGGGGGGAGGGCGGGGTCGTTCCTTGAATGCAACCTGTTCGCAAGTACCTTACCCCTTAAAGTCGATCCTGGAGTTTTTCAAGCCCCGTCCTTCCCGAAGATGGTATTCTGATCGAGTTCCAGAGCTGGACCTGTGGTCAGCTGAGTCAGCTGCAGGACGGAGGCAATGTCCTCAAAGGTGAACGGTTCCCGTCCCCTCTTTGCAAGCTTAAGGTCGCGAGAAATTCGTTCGATGTGCCGTAACATGTGCGATGCCGGAGTGAGGCCCAAGAACTCCCCGCTTTGCTTTGATGTCCAAGGTTCTGGCAACGTTGATGGACGTCCCCATCTAAGACACCCACCCCATCAAAGCTGGTGCCTGCTCCCTCATCCCTCTTGCGATGCTGCACAACTCTACGAAATGCTGTCGGCAGCTTGGCAAGGGGCCATAGGACGACCTGCACTGTAGGTCGTGATGAGCACTGCATGCTTTCAGTGCCAACCCACGCCCCGGTACAGCGACGAGACTAGAAGCAAGACGCTGCAGGATAGCTTCGGCGCCACATGGCACTCCGTCAACCTGCGGCTGGCCTCTGCTGACTCCAAAGTCCCGATGTCGACCCCTCGTGCGGAGGCCTTCACCGCCAGCATCACATCACCCGAGTTTCCTCATCCATCAAGTTAGTTTGTTTCTCCATGGGGCCCAAGTCTGTGCAGTAGCTGCTGGTCTTCATGCCCCTGCGCTACTACTATTGGTTCTGTTCAGAGCTTCGTGAACGAGATGAGCGTTAGCGATACCTGAACATGAAATACTGTAGGAGAAGTGCTCAGCAATTTTTGCTTGAGCGATGCAACCGCGGTGGGCTCACACCCTGGAACATCCTTACAAGTGATGCTTCGACAGCAGCAGGGTGGGAATGGTGGGATTACGATGGCCCTTTGAGCCGGAGCTTTCAGCGCATGGTGCCTTGCTTGGTTCTAAAGTGTGTAGACTGTAGGGGCTTTGTGCCTCCAAAGGCTCGGGGTGATAATTTTGGCTTCGTGTCGCATCGATGCTTTGGGGTGTTGGAGAAATCTAAGCCTCTAAGCATGTGAGGGTCCAGTCATGTGGTCAAGATACGTTCGTTTGTTCGCATGTTGAGAAAGCTTAGCAAGATACCGGGTGGCAATTTGCTCAGTTGGGCTTCCCAAGGATTCAGCACAAGATGTCCCAGCCATTGCAGCTCGTTCAATTAACGTTGATGGAATGTTTTTCACGGTAGGACTAACAGACCTGTGGAGGTCCGACCAGGCGAGTGGGTTGGTCACTCAGTTGTGCAATCCAGCACGACATTTCTGGCTGATTTCATGAAGGAATGCCCCAAGCAAGCAAGCAGCCTGGATTTTGTCAAGAGCATGAGCCCTGTCTCAGTCCTTCGTAGCCGGCATGCCTTGCTAGCACGCCGATGCTTACGCCACGTGATCGGCTTCGTCGTCAGTCGGTCGGTTTGCCGGTCAACCAGTCGGAAGCCATGGGGAATTAGAGTCTGAGCAGCACTGCGCGCAAGCATGGTATGTTCATGCTATTCCGTGCCTTGTTGCATGAGTTGTTGACTTTACTTCCATCAACTATTGGACATCCCAATCCTTCTGGGATAGGGGTTCAAAAGAACTCCTTAAGGGATCAAAAAGACTATTCCTATTATATAAGCAAAATACAAGGCAAAGGACAAAGGAAGAAAGCAGAAGAAGCAAAGTAAGGAAGGAAGGAAGGAAGAAAGAAAGTAGTGAAGGAAAAAAGAAGGAAGCAGGGCAAAAAAACAAAAAATATAGAAAGATTTAATGGAAGAACGAAATAACGAAAGACGGAAGGAGACAGCAATTCAGCGCAGAGAGACAGAACACAGAAAGATAGCAAGAACGAAAGACAGGAATGTATAAAGAAAGAAAGAACGAACAACAACGAGTGAAGCAAGACAGACAGAAAGACCAGCAACTCAGCAAAGAGAAGCTCGTCCCTTGCTAAGGATCCTGAGTAATTAGAGATTCTAGGACATTTTCAGGTGGGTAGGCTCCGTTGTAGGAGCCGTTTAGAATTAGAAGGTCTATGTACCTTATAGAAGCCTTATAGAAGCCCCATATACCCTAAACTCACCACCTGTAGTTTCCTTTAACAGGTGTACTTGCCATATCAAAAAGATTAGTTACTGAGGCCCATGCACTCTTTGCAGACAGTAAGCATAAAACAAGTCTTCTGAAACCATCAAGCCGGAACCTTCATTCCCGGAGCTTCATTTCGTGCGTTTTCTCAGGATGATAACGATGATGATGATGATGATGATTAGGAGGAGGAGGATGTATACGTCTATGTATAAGTGTATGTGTATATGCATAAGGATGTATATGTACATATATATCCACACATGTATGCATGTATGTATGCATGTATGTATAGGCACGCAAATACGCGTGTGTGTGTATATCTGTGTGTGTGTGATTATATGTATGTATGTCCACATGTATCTAAACCCGTCCCCTCCGCCCCATCCCGGCTCAAAACAAGCCAAGCCAAGTCAAGCATTGTAAAGCGAACATGGTGTACACGAAAAAATAACCCTGTGCGAACGTGCCTCCAAGAATGGCGTGCCATCAATGGACATTCCGTCAAGCAGCCTTTCTATGAGTATTCCGTTTGCAAACAGGGGGGGCTGCGAACCGTCCCGCTCATTAAATTTTAAGCCATGCGAATCTGCGTCAAAGAATGGCGTGCCATCAATGGACATTCCTTCAAGCAGCCTTTCTATGAGCATTCTGTTTGCAAGTGCGGTGGGCACCCCCTTTTCTTTTTTCTGCCATGCAGGCCTGTTTTCAAGAGTGACGTGCTATGCCCTCCACTTTCTTGCTATCCGAAACAGAGAGTGAGACCAGCACCGCCATCCGTAATGAGAGCATGCTAACCATGTACTGTACTCAAAGCAACTATTCGTTGTTTTTTGATGGGTGCGTGGCCTTCATTGGTAGGTGTGGTTTTGGGGGGAGGAAGCAACAAGAGCGTGACACAGATAGCGCGGCCAGAAGGATCTTTCCCCGATGTTGGTTTCACAAAATTGCACTGGCGGGATTTCGGAAGCACGTCAAGAATGTAATGACGGGGCGTGTTTGAGATATATATATATATTTGTGATGATGATGATGATGAACTGGACTCGGCAGATCAAGGGGCGTGTTTAAAACGGAATCGCCAAGTGATGGGGCATGTTTAAGATATATGATGACCCGGAACCGCCAGCGTGTTTAAGATATATGATGAACCGGAATCGCCAAATACATGCCTGCAGAAAGGAAGACGTACACACGTGGGCACGGCCGGAATGCTTTCCGGACCAGAGCCAAGAGGCTCTCCCCCAAGTATTGGCGCTTTGCAGGCACAGAGCGAAGATCTCACGCACGGCCAGAAGGATTTATACCCGAAATCTTGTGGGTTCATTTGGACTGAGAAAATGTTTTCCCCTCTGCACTAGCGGGATTCCGGTAGCAAACGGAGGGCAAGCCCTCCACCTGGAACGCGCCTCCTCTGTAATTTGCCTACAAAAGGGAATAGTTCTATTTTTTTGTTACATGAAAAAGTTTTTTATCTTTGAATTAGCCTGCCTCCTCTTTATTTTGCTTATAAATTGAAGAATAGTTTTTCTTGATCCCTTAAATAATTGTTTTGATTCGAAAAAATTGCTTTATGTTTTGAAATGGTTCTTTTTTGATGCCTCACCCAATCCGCCTTTGTTCCTCAAGTCTCGTCGCTCGATTCAAGGTGCCTCTCTGGATCCTCAATCAGCTCAATTACCACCCACCCACCCGGCTTTTAGATGGCCGGGAAATGCCTCGACCCGACCCATCCCCCGCATCACTACACCAGGTCCACAGCAACTCACCGGCTTGCATGTGACGTTTGCAGAAGTAATGTCTCTGAAGCGATGTCTAAGTTCCCCCGGTAGCTTCTGGCGGCTCTCGCGAGCTTGGAACTGCAAGTTTGCAATGTTCTGCGGGCCGGAGTCGGGGATATGAGGGACACTCCGTCCAGAACTTTGCGTGCACTGAAGAGACTCGGCCGGCCGGCATACTGCGTACTGCAGGCCGCAAACGAACTATTAGGGTCGCATGGGCGGTTAGCTGTAGTGAGCACCCTTTACGCCAATTATGGTGCACCCATCCTGGACTTACCCCCTTCTCGCAGCATGTTACTGCAAAGCTTGCAGTTCGGCCGCTGTTCCTCACAACAGCAGAAACCGATACGGTTCGACACACTGAGTCGATACGCATTCACTGGTCAGGGGAGCCTCCACGAGCTGTCTTTCCAAGCCTGTACAACATCTTGGACGCGGAGCTCCCCACGTAAAATTGCACTGTCCGGGGTGTCATCTCATGTGGAAGGAAGCTCATGCTCATACACCTGATGCCGTTGCTGTCCGCAAAATCCGCAAACAAGAACATCAGGAACGGTGCCCACCCAGACAGCCGATGACAGTCATGTTCGAGATTGCCTTTTGCTGTCTGACGCGCCGAGCTTGAGACTGACAGCTGCCGTGGAAAGAAACTTTACTGTTTTTCGCAGATAACTAACACATTTCACAGCTTCGGGAAGATGCATGCAGCAAGTTAGCACCGCGAGGGTGCAAGCTGCGAGCATGAAGCTGGTGGGCTTCAAGCTGCTGGGGGGCAAGCAATCATCGACGGGTGGTGCAAGCTATGGTCGAGGCACTGTGGGAGCGCCAAGAGATAAAATCTTGTCTCGTCTGCCGACCTTGCTTGGCACACGAGTGTGAGCGTCAATAATCACTGTAAACGGTGCTGGCCCACGGTCAAATCACGACAGCTGCCAACGAAGCAAGAGTTGTGTGTCAAACCAGGTTTCAATAGAAAGCGCGGGCATAGCGAAGGCAGCCTCTGAGAGAAGGCGACGCTCCAAGCAATAGCGAAGATTGGCGAAGCACATCACTTGAGATGGAGATGGAGACGTCAAGCCAGGCCTACACCTGTCGAATGACGTGACTCCCCTCCAGTAGTGCGGCAAACGAATCAGACAACCTGGCGGCGCATTTGGGTCATTTCGGCGCGGGTAAAGCAAAGGAAGCCAAGGCAGAAAAGCAATGCTGAACCGCTATCTGGTTAGCAGTTGCTAGCTGCGGTCCCCAAACGAGAACATCCAGAGGAATTGCGTCCACCCAGACAGCCGAGCACAGTCATATTCGACATTGCTTCGTGCTGTCTGACATGCTGCCCTTTAACGCTGACAGCTGCCATGGGTGCGCGGAAGAGCTTTGTCCTAGTCCCTGCAGATGTAGCAGAACCGACACGACATATAGAAGCTCACTATCAGAAGTTGCTTGAAAATGGCGTTTCTGGATGCGGATCTCAGGCAAGATCTGAGCGGCGGCCGCTTGCGCCCGAAGCGGCAGAGGCCTCGATCTCTGGCCACGGCCGCTTGAGAATGTGAAGTTTGCGTGCCCCTGCAGCTGCTATGTGGCACATTGCTTCGCCTGTGATGGCAGGGATCGGCGATGTTACGCCCAGGGACAGGCAAGCCGTCAGCTTTCATGATGCATCATGTTGCCAGGATGTGTTCAAGCAAAAACTGTAAATTGTCACCACATCTCGCTGCAAGTAGGAAGCACGGCGAGGACTGGATGCGCATTGCTTGCTGATGCTTGGTGCTTCTATTGGCGCATGCTGTGAGCAACATGTCAAGGCCAGGCAGCTTCGGCTGTTCCCGGTTACTCGGGGCATGTGCCAGGCAGATGCCTCAGCGTACATGACGACTCGCTTGGGCTGCCTGCAGTGGTTCTCACATGCGCACTGGCCATATTACGTTGTTGAAGCCTGAACTGCACAGGCAGACTCAGGGATCTGTCACCGAACAGTCGAGGTAAAGATATCAGCGATTTCGAAACTTTGCAAAACGCGTTGATCCAGGTCAACTGCTGCGAAAAATTCGGAGGCAATTTGCAGTTGAAGGAAGGGTCGGAAAATGGCAGAGCACCAACTTCACTCCAAATAGCTGCGGCTGGGCTACTGAGCGAGCTCCCCACAAAGAGCCCAGGCAAGCTTTCCGAGAACATTGTCGGCCAGCGCCTTGTAAGAGTACTTCAAGTGATGAGCGCAATCTAAAATTGCAACACGGACATACACGGACCATTTGTTGTGTTGTATCGCTGCGCATAAAGAGACCGAGCGACGTTGTGCCAGGTGCCAGATGCGCAGCGGCGAATGCTATAGCGGCAACCGCCGAGCAAATGACCAAGCGAAGCGAAGCATCATGAAATGGTTCGTCACATCTTCAAACAAATCATCGGTCAACTTTTTGCAATGCTCCTGCCACAAAACCTGCAGGCCTGGCACCATCAAGTGGCCTTTGCCTCAACATCCGCAAGAATTAAACATCAAGAGCAGGGTGTGCAGAGATGTCCAAGGCAGCGCACTGCTGCACCGGGCGTCGGGAGCTCACGTTCAGAGCATCGTCCTTTCAGTTTTTCCGTGTATCGAGTCGCTCTCTGCTGTTAAGTTGTAGCTGCAACAGCCGCAACAACCTATCTCTCGAGGAAGCCGGGGGATCGAGTCGCTCTTTGCGTGTTTGCGTTTGTGTTTCGGTCTCTCTCTCTCTCTCTGTGTCTGTCTGTCTGTCTGTCTGTCTGTCTGTCTGTCTGTCTGTCTGTCTGTCTGTCTCTGTGTGTGTGTGTGTGCGCGTGTGTGTGTGTGTGTCTGCATGTGCGTGCGTGTTCGTTCGATGGCTTCGCAAGTGTCTTGAGGAAGAAAAATTCTCTGCATGAATGGACCTGCCATGATTTGGCTCAAAATTCAAAGCTGAGCCACGATTTATATCAGGTCACTTCCTGCCGAAGTCTTAGCTTTGTGTTTGAATCCAGTTGGCAGTGGGCCGGCTGTAGAGAACCACTGATTCCAGCCTGTTGTCAAGATGTCGAGGTTTCCATGGCCCTCGCCGTCAGGATGGTCAAGGATTTCTTGCCACGTGGGTCAGTGTGGCTGAAGCTCTTGTGCACATGTCTTCGAACTGAGATAGACCAGGCCTTGGACCCCACTCAAAGGCGAGACCACTGATGCTCGCGGGCGGTCATAGCCCCCTAGCACTAAGCCTTACAGCCTTGCATCAAGGGCATTGGACGAGGCACTTTGATCCAGTCAATGTTGTCGGACACATGCGGCACAGTAACCCAACTAGTCGAAGCAGAGAGGCGACGAAAGCAACCGGAAGCAACCACGGGGTCGAAGCCTTTCTTGGGGTTGGCTGGCCCTTGTCAATGGGAAGGATTCGGGCGATGCTGGCGCATGCGATGCCCTGTGCACCTTGGCTTGGTGCTGCATGCAGAACGTACACACGGACTGAGTATTGATTCTCGTTCTTTATCTTTCTCTCTACTTTTGTGGTTGGACTGCCGACCCCTGCGCATCCCTCCCGCGGCTTTGTTCTGCGCCAGTTCCTGTCATATGCCATGGTATTTCCTTTGTGGTGCGGACATCTTTTGGTCTGTGTCGTGTCCCCTACACCGGAAGGCCTCAAACACGGTTGCGCCACACCAAGTCTGCATCTTGGTGTCAAGTCGGGGGTCCTTCGACCTGGAGGGTTTTGCATGCCCAGACCAAAAACAGAGACCCTCATTCCAGCGGTACATTCAAAGCAAGAGTCGCAGCGCAGGTCCTTCCACAACCCTCACAAATAATGGGGCCTGGCAGCCGGGAGGCTTGAAACACCCCTCATGCCTTGTTGTGTTGGAGAGAGCGAGAGAGAAGCGAAAAAGACCACCCGAGGACTGCGGGCGCGCTCGCGCGAGGTTCAGGACTGGACGCTCCCTAGCCGGCCCTAGCCCTCCTACCTGGTAGGGAGAGCGAGAGAGAGAGAAGCCATATTTTGGCTCAGGCCGTGAGAGGTTCAAGGTCCGAGCCCCAGTGTGACCGAGGACCTCAACCCGGGCGGACAGAGCAGAGAGTGAGGGGGGGGTGCTGTCAGGTTTCCTGTGCCTTCTTTCCTGTTCCCGCTGCCACACTAGTGACGGGGGACCTCGTTTTACTATACGCGTCTACAGCCGAACGCTCGTGACACGAACATCGGAAAAACGGACCTCACTTACCACCGCAGCAGATCCGGCGTGCAGAAGACTTTGCCACATGCTACTTCAAAGTTTTCGGCGAGCCTTTGCATCTCGATTCACCGCACTCAAGATCCAGGAGAGGTTAGTAAAGCTGATCTACGGTGAGATTGTGATTTTCTCGACGGCACCGAGACTGCAAACTTCCGGTGGAGGATGACAGACGCCTGCATTGGTGTCAACCACGGATATGCCGGTGGACCACCAAGGCCTGGATGAGATGACCACCAAGTACACCGAGCACGGAGACATTCTGCAACATTTGCAAGAAGCAAACAGGGAAGTGCAGGTTCGCCTGGAACGCCTCGAAACAAGTGGGGGAGCACCCGCCTCCATTGCGGAAAGCACAGCGGCGCCCTCGACAGACGGTGGCTTTTTGTGCTCGGCGTCCGGAGACAATACGCCATCCTGCCCATGACCGAAGTCAGGGGGGCGAAGGCGCACCTCGGAGCCAGACCCGAGGGGGGCCTGCGCAGAGTGCGGATCGCCATGTCGCAGCCGCCGGACCGGCGACACAAAGCACGCTTGGCGGTAAAAGTCAAGAGGTTGTACTTGACGCTCGGGGGGACAAGGAGAAATTAGAGATGGAATACAGTACCGGCAGCACATGGATTGATCAGGCCAAGGTCTGTTCTGCGTCGGCTTCGCCGCCGAAGGGAACCGAGGAACAAAGGAGGAGCTGGAGAAGGTGTGGTCCCCGCTTATACCGGAGACACTATACTCACTATACGACGAGTTTCACCCCCCGGCCGGGGGCTTGGCTACTTACCTGGAACGTCGGGGACCCTGACAGCAGACAACATGTTGGAGGCATGATGGAGATCTCGAAGTCTTCCGGGGGAGTCCTGACATGCATTGTTTCAGCCTTGTCCTTATTCAGGAAATAATCACAGATGCAGGCTTTTTTCATGATGAATCCGACCATTGGCAAAGATTTCCGAGGTGGGCAATCGCTCCCCACAAAGACCTTTTCAGCCACGACCACAGCAACCTCGCGCAAGCGCAGTCATTGCCACTGTCAAAACCAGGCACACCAACCAGTCTACGCGAGCATTAGCGGGACACATCCCACACTGGCCCACACCATGCTACCATACAGCAAATATAGCAAACAGAGCTACTGCCGGAGGGTTTGGGGATCAGCTTTGGCAGCAGAAAGAAAGGCCGTTCTCGGCTTGAACGCCAGAGAAACGTTCACCCCGCGCTTTGCGACCGGGGCGGGATGCGCACCGGCAGAGGGGAAGCTATCCTTCCATGGCTCAACGTCGCAGGCAGGCTCCCACCGCAACAGCTGCACTTACCGAGCTACCACCCATACAATACCCAGCAATGGGCCAGAACGCCACCAGAAACTGCAGCAGCACAGGAGAAGGAACGGTCGTTCGGCCAGCCATCCCGGGAGGGGCACCAACAAATACCAGCAGTCCTGCCTTGAAAAGACTCCTGCAGCAAGCACAGCACAGCACGCCCTGGCCGGCTGCCCGAACAGCCTTGAAAAGCGGTGGCACGCCGCCGAAGAAAAAGGAAAATCATGCATGGTACAGGCAGCAGGCAGAACAGGACTGGAGAGTGATGAGATCGCTCCAGAGGGGAGCCCACAATGGATGGCACCTCACCTTGCAGGATGACCCGCAATGGCAACGGGGGGCATAACTGTGGCCTGCAGCCCCCACAAGACAGTCGTATCCACGTTGGGGTCGCCCATCACCTTCAGCGAGCAAACCACGGCAGTCATCGCGGAGGGGGCGAGACGCCTACGCCATGCAATGAGTCGTCCTCATCCTACAAGCACGCACAAGCTTAAGCCCGGGATATGGTCCACCGGCATACTGCGGCGCATTTAGACATTGGGCCACGTGGTTTTATGGGAGACGAAGTCAATGCAATGGTGGCACGGAAGAACATGGACTACTGGCGAGCGGTGCAGCGCAAGCCACGTAAACAATGCGTCATGCACGCAGGGCATTTGAACCCAGAGGGATGTAGAGCCGAACGAAGCAGCAGGCACTGGCTCGTCTGCAGCAGCCCAAAATCGAACCCAATGGCCCAGTCGCATGGCATCCTTTGTGCGCCGCTTTGATGTTCCCTGGGCCACGGGCAAGCAGCTCAGCACACAACACAACCGCACTCCCAACAGCCAACGGCGGCCGCATGGACGGGGGAACTATAGCAACAGAGTGAAGGCTTTGCCGGAGTCGTTGCCACGGCCCACCCGCACAGTCGGAGGGGAGAGAAAAGAGGGCCACTGTCTGTTGTCGCAGCCGTCATGTCGTTTGCCGACCCAAGCTCCAGCTCATACCAAGCAAAGGCAGCCATAACCACAACCTTTCCACCGATACCATGCAACACCCGTACGACCCCAACAACATCCAACAACGATCCCTGGGCTCAGCCCTACGTGCCGGGAAGCAGCGACCCAGACACAACAGTTGCAAGGAAGATCCACTGCACAATCGACGCAAACACCACATTTCCACAACACACCTGCACCGCAATCAATACACGGCAGCCCACCTTGCAGCAAACCTCCCACTCCCGCGCCGGTACGACCCTGAAACTAACCCCTGTCCTGGCGGGGGACCCCACCCCACCGGCCCTGTGTGCCCGCACGGCCTCACCTTTGCCGACACTTTCAATCGTAACCAAACAACCCACAGCAGCCAACGGGCGATGACAGCACCAGGAGACAAGGACATTCCTGTGGACCAGCCCCAATACCAGACGCAGCCAACTGGCCCGCGACCGCCATCGGCTGGGCGGCCACCACAGAAGGGAAGACCCCCCCGGTCCACTTACTTCCAGGCCGCTACGGGTGCAGACTGCCGCCGGATATGGACGAAAGCCTTTCCAGGTATGACGATGGTGGAGCATGATTGGATAACCACAGGCGAGATACCTCCTTCCATTCACCGTGAACTCTTCCCAGACTTCACCACACCACAACAACCACCACAACCAGAGAGCTCAGCCGGTGAGGCGGTGACCAACCAACAGGGGGAGGAAGCGACGGATACTGCTCAGCCCAGCGATCAAGCACCAGTAGAGTGCGCATGCTACGCAAACACGAAAGGTGGGGCGCCCGTGGGCGGAACAAGGACCACAAATACCACATCAAGCAGTGCACCAGCCCATTCGTGTGGCCATTCAACGGGGGCCCGCAAGACTTTACACACTTGCTTGGTGTTTGCCGTGCTTTTCCGGTTGCTGTCTTCGCGAGTACCCGAGCACAATCCGGGCACGCAAATT